ACCGGGAAAGCGGCTGGGTACTCAATCCCCTCCAATGGGCAGGTCTGATCATGACCAAACTGACATAGGAATCGGAACGGAAAATAGAATACGCAGTGGGTTAGACCAATCAATTGGATCCCAATCAGCCGGGACATACTATAGCTCATTGCCGGGAGGTTGAGCCAAGGACAACGCCAAGCAATGCCGTCTGCGGACAAATTGCACATCCAGTCAAACCACCACCTTTCGTCAAGAGCATTGACTAAGCACTGCCGAAAGAAGTAGCCTCGAGCTGAATAGGCCGGGCAGGAGTCCATAACCTGCAACTTATCCATTAACCATACCTAGGGGAGGGATGGAAAATGAGAAAATAAAGAACAGAGAGATGTACGATGAGAGAAAAGTAAGACAAGGGTTTTGTGAGAAAAATCGAGCCTGAGGGTCGAGTGATGTGAGCAAATATATATGTAAGGTTGGATGGGAAACATTACCTGCAGTAGCAGTAGACTCCCAGCAAACCTAGTCGCCTCCCGGCGATAGACAGAATCTAAGCCCATCAGTGTCTCGGCCAAGGTCATGGCAATACAGCTCTTCCCTTCTCTCAAACCCTGGGCGACTTCAATTAGGCGAATGCTAGCTCCGCCAAAGCCCGAGGAAAGCAGAAAGTGAGACAACAAACATAAGCAGAGGGCGTGTTGCCGGAAACCCTGCCAATAATGGTTGCTGCGATCACCGGCGTCGGAAAAATGATGGATCAAGCCGAGGATGTCCAGTTCCCCACTGCAGATCAGAGATCGAGCATCATGCGCCGTGAGCCCACACATCCGCCCTAAAGCCTGAGCATGGCCAAAACGGAGCTGGGGCAAGATCACCTCAGGGCATTCAGACTCCATCAAAGTCTGAAAATCTTCGAAAGTGGGACACATCTCTTGGCCGCCAAAGCTAAAAACGTGCGTCACTGGATTCCAGAACCTTGCCGCGACGTGGAGAAAAGGGAGATGTAGTGGAGTACGGCTCAGCGTGAATAGTGCATTCAAACCGAAACTCCGAAAATTCAGCTTTTCCGAGCCATCTAGAGAAGAGATCCAAGATGTGAGATTTTCTGCGAGAAACGCCTCCATCTTTGTCTAAAACCAAGATGAAATGAATGTTCCCGAAGTTGAGGCTTTTATAGAGGGAAAAACACTATTCACGAGGACACGTGTCAAAAATCTGGTGGCTGCAGGACTAAGTGGCCGGCCGGCCACCTTTTCTGGCTGGCCAGCCATTTACTTTTTACAAAACTGGCCGGCCAGCTGTCTCTCTCCACAAAAATGGCCGGCCGGCTCCCAAAGGTGGCCGGCAATGCTGCAGTGTATCCTTTTGGCTCTGTTTACCCTCTGGGGAAAAGTTTTGAGCATTTCCGTGCAACGGGAGAGTCAAAGGCCTTCATTTCGGATGCGTTCCGGTGCCCAGATCGTCCGAAGTACACTCTGTTATTGCTGAGCTTTGATTATCGAGTTGTTGTTTTGCTTATCGAGTTGTTTGTCGAGCGGACGTGTTTCGTGTTTTTGAGTCATTGCGCTCTGTTTAAACAATCTTTGTTTGAAGTCTCGTTTATTTTGCGTTGTCAGCATTGTTGCATTTTGCTTATCGAGTTGTAAACTTCCTAAGGTCCTGTTATATCTTAGTAAGTTGAATTGCTTAGTTTGTTGCGTCGGTTCACTACCTGACTTGGTGATTACACAATGCACATTCCCATTCAATTTCATTTTTGTGCAAAATAAAATGATGCGATACGATGCTAAAAGTTTAAAATACAAACACCTTTTCAAAAGCTATTTCATTCCATCATGTTTTACAACAAATAAAGGTACAAGTTTTACGAAAAATAAAACTACCTAACAATGTGCAAAGTGCTACAAACTACTAGCAAAAAGAAAAATAAAGCAGGAAATAGCAGCATCAATGTCCTCGGGAGCGGGAAAGAGAAGCACTCCTCATCCTCTTTTGCGGGACAGCTTCTGCACCATCATCATCATCTGGGTCAGAACCGTCATCCTCAGGATTCCCCTCAGCCTCCTCCTCCTCCTTCTCCTCCTCGGCAGACGTCTCGGACTGACGATCTGTGGCCTCCTCCTCCTCCTCCTCCTCATCGGGCTCCACCTCTACAACGTGAGCCCTGCGTCTGCGGACAGGCCCCCCTCGAGCTCCTCGAAAAGGCCTAGATGGCCCGGCTCCTCGGGAAGGCCGAGATGGCCCCGCCCCCTGAAAAGGTCCGGGTGACCCAACTCCCTGAAAAGGCCCAGACGGCCCAGCTCCCCAAGGAGGCCCAGGTGGCCTGGTCTGCGGCTGACCGGACCATGAAGGCATCTGAAAACAAAGAGTTCAATTCAAATACATCAGTTCAAATATATACATCAGATGCAGATACAAGTAAAGGCTACGTGAAGTGGGTGCATGTAAATGCAATGTACAAATGGGGTGTGTGTCAGATATGCTCTACACAAGTAGTCTATCGATGCAGTAGAGATCAGCATGTCATCGGAAGTATGATAAATGCCAGAAAACTGAAGGGTACCTGAATGCCCGCGACAGACAACTGTGCCTCCCTACGCAGGACCATGCCCTCGAGTGTGGCCACCAGTCCAACCACCTCCTCCATGTACCCTCGCGGTGGCTGCAAATATGAGCTCATAATCATCAATGAACAAAAAATGTCTAAACATCTGAATGATGAATGAAAAACAGTGGAGCATACCAGCGGTGAGTCGGCATCAATGGCGTATCGATCACTGGGCATCGGAGGCTCTAGCGGAATCGGAGTCGGGGAGATAGCCCCATACTGCCACGCCATCAACTCAGTGGGCATATCTGGCCATCCAGGATGAGGATAAGCCGACGGAGTCGGAGGAACCGGTCTACTCCCACCTCTAGATGTACCTGCCCTACTAGTAGAAGGGGCGTCTGCAGCCCGAGCCCGAGCCTGGCCCGAGGATGACATACCGGCAGGCCTCATCATCGGGATATGAGCTCCCGTCAATGGAGGCATCAAATATATGTGACGGTAAGTGGCGTAGTCCCCCTCCTCAATATATAGTAAAGAATCACTACCCAGCATGGCGCCGACTACCTCCGAGTAAAAGAGCCTGTCAGCAGTCCGCATGCTGACTGGGGGTACTGCGGGAGGATCCTGAGAAAGATACCCCTATACCTGGCGCAGAAAGCGTTCCCCCAGGAACCACACCCTGCCAACCGACCCTTCGAGCAGGACCCTATACTGGGAGATGTCTGACCCTCCGGTATACTGATGTCGGAGACCATCACCCAGGGACGCCCAGGGCTGCCATGTGATCTGCGGATGTAAATGCATAAACCAATCAGAAATCGGGAATATACAGAGCAAATTAAAGATGAAAATGAAAGGAACTGAAAGTTCTGAAGTACCTCTGAATGTCGCACAGTGTCGAAGTACTGTCGCAGGTAAAGGAGGGTCTCTCGAGGTCTCGGCCGGTGCGGGCCCTCGAACACCAGAGAATATGGGGTCATGGGAAGCCCTGCCACCTCCAACTCTGGAGCTAATGCTGGGAAGTATACATAGACCCATAGCTGAGAAAAGCAGTGCAGAATGTATGTACGAAATGCTGAGAGCAAAATACAGACTGTGAAAGTGCGCTGTGTGTGCAATGTACAAGAAATGAAGAGCAGAAATGTAAATCAAGAGGACAGAAAAGTACCTCCCAGGCTCTCCAGTAGCCGCCAAGTAAATTGCCCCGCCCGCGGGAGGTCGCGCTCATATAAAAGTAAAGGGTAGCCAGGCCGGTGCCACCCCAGTCATATCGGTGGACCTGTGATAGGTCAACCAGAGCGCTCAGCAGGTATAGCCCGACTGTGTTCCCTCTATCGGCGAACAGGGTAGTCCCGAAGAGGAACATAAGGAAACCACGGGCGTACTGCTCCGCCTCCTCGGGAGTCTCGGGCACCATCTCCGCCCGCCGGAAGTGGGAAGAGAACCAAGTGTATCGGACTCTCCCAGAAGCCCTGTCAACAGGCGGGTGAGCCCCCAATAGATACGTCCAGGCGGCCTCCCACTCGCCCATGTCCTCATCATAGGGGATGGACCAACCTCCTATGTCCAGGCCAGTCAACACAGCGAAGTCCAGAGGCGTCATGGTCATATCTCCAGTGGCAGAGAAATGAAAGGAGTTGGTGGTGTCCCACCATCTCTCTACCAAGGCTGCCATCAGTGTCCTCATAGCAGGACAACGTGACAACCCGACGCAGAAGGGCCCAAACCCTGCCAAGTCTACTAAGTCTCGGACATCCTCCGGGAGCTCAGCGTACCAGTCCCGCGCGATGGTGGAACCATACCCCCGCACACTGCGGGAACCAACCTGCATTCGGAATGAATACATGTGTCAATAATGAAATGAATGGGCTGTGTGCCAATTTGATGAAATGGGCTGTGTGCCAATGAAATGAATGGGCTGTGTGCCGATGAGATGAAATGGGCTGTGTGCCAATGAGATGAAATGGATTGTGTGCCAATTTGATGAAATGGGCTGTGTGCCAATGAAATGAATGGGCTGTGTGCCGATGAAATGAAATGGGTTGTGTACCGATGAAGTGAAATAAGCTACGTGCAAAATTTCAATTGTGGGCTGCGTGTTCACTATCTATCTGGGCTGCGTGTTCAGAAAATTTGAAGTTTGGGCTGCGTGTTCAACTTTCAGTTACATTTTGGGCTGCGTGTTCACTATCTACCTGGGCTGCGTGTTCAGAAAATTTAAAGTTTGGGCTGCGTGTTCAACTTTCAGTTACATTGTGGGCTGCGTGTTCACTATCTACCTGGGCTGCGTGTTCAGAAAATTTAAAGTTTGGGCTGCGTGTTCAACTTTCAGTTAAATTGTGGGCTGCGTGTTCAGAAAATTTAAAGTGTGGGCTGTGTGTTCACTATTCGAATTCGGGCTGTGTGTTCGACAAATCGGTGTTTGAGCCGAGTGTTCAGAAATTCGAGTGTTTAAAACTACATGTTCAGGATGCAAGCAAAGTACTATGTCAAAAGCTAAACTGCGTGTTCAAGCATGGCAAAGGTGCGAAATGTACGAAAAATACAGAAAATGAAGTAAATACCTCTCGGGCCTCATGAGAGAGGTGATGCTCCGGCTCTCGGAGAAGCAGATCCCCGGGTGCTCGCTCGTCAAAGCTAGTAAAGTGACGGAAGACAGCACGAGAGAGGACATGTGCTGACGGACGGTACCTCCCAGGAATAAAAGGTCGAGTCCTCGGGGGTAGAGTCATGGGATCGAAATCATCTCCGACACCTGGAAAACCTCCGCCGTGAGGAGAATTACCCGTCATTTTTCAAAGAATCTGCAAAAGGAGCAAAAATGAGCAAAATGAGCCAAAATTGGAAAAAGTCAACAAAAGTCAACTCTCAAGAAATGGAAAAAGTCAACAAAAGTCAACTCCCGAGAAAATCTTCCAAATATTGAGGCAAACTTACCTCATGTGGCGAAAATGCGAAAAGAAGCTCCGAGACCGAAATTTAATCGCTTCAAAGTGCTTGAAACTGAATATTTTTGCGAAAATAATTTGCGCGGGGCGTTGGAAAACGCGTGTAGAACTGAGATCTGAAGAAGAAAGTGTTGTAGGAGGCAAGAAAAGGGAAGGTCTCGGCTGCAATATATAGGCCCCAAGTCTTGGATTGAAGGAGCATCAAAAAGGAGGTGAAAAAGACCAAACTGCCCTCGGATCTGGGCATATGGCCGGCCGGCCCCCTTTTCTAGCCGGCCAGCTATCTGCTTTTTGGATAACTGGCCGGCCAGCTATCTACTTTATGGAAAACCGGTTGGCCACCTCCCCTCTCCCATATAACCGGCCGGCCATGTCCCCCACATGCCCACCTAGCTCTCTGCAAATTTTGAGGAAGATCGGAGTTCCCGGGACCTGAAAAAGTTCAAGAAAAGTACACTTCCGGTCGCGAAATAGCTCCGCCGGGACTTCAGCTTCAAGTTCTGACATATGTCTCATCATCATTCATCGAAATCGAAGTATATCCTTTTTGAATGAGTTGTAGCCTTTCCGGGAAGCGGATCTGAAGCCGTGATCGAGTTACCTTCGCCGAAACACGCGTTTCCGTACTCGTTATTTCATGACAAACGGGCACCCTGATTCAAGCTCATTTTGTACTATCGTGCGCATAACTTGCATTCTCATGAGCATACTCACATTTTTATGCACATTTCTTGATATTGGCATACCTCCATGCTTGAGCGTGCGTTGTTACGCATGTTCCACTCTTGCATTGCGATGCATTCACTCACCGACACTGCGCGTGTCGAACTTTCGGAATCACATTGGATATATGTTGGTAGCATATTGTACTTGTTGCAATTTCTCTCTTTTGCAGGCACGATATTGTATGTACGGTTCAATTGAGGCTGGTGCGACCAGACGAATCGCGCAGGTATCGTATCTTCTCCGTGTGAGACGTGGCGGGGATTGAATAATCCTCCGCATTTCTTAACTGCATGAAATGTAGTTGTTGCTTTGCATTCTTGCTTAAAACTGTTGCATCTATTTGCGAATACTTGCTTCATTACAGCTTGCTGCATTTGCATGATCATTGGGTTACCTCCGGCTTTTTGCATATCATTTGCATTTTGCCCCTGTCTGCGGACACGCCTGTGGGCACATCTCTGCTTACCTTGTATGTTTGTCTAAGTCTTCGACCTTGTCAAAAATGGGTCGTCTCTGGACTTTGACATTCACTCCCGTCACTTGTGACTTCCGAGTTCTGTCAAAGAGGGGCAACTGTAGACACCCCATTTTTGACCGACCTTAAGACTCAGGCGTCACCGATTGAGCGCTTGGTGATGTTGCATAATGTGCTCTCTCTTTTACAGGCACGATATTGTATGTACGGCTCAATTGAGGCTGGTGCGACCAGACGAATTGCGCAGGTATCGCGGACAGGCCCTCCCCGAGCTCCTCGAAAAGGCCTAGATGGCCCGGCTCCTGTAGACCATCTCTCAGTGGCCGTAGGCTACATTTGGTGGCCGTAGGCCATTTTGCCCATTTCGGAGTCCGATTTCCGGTTTTTCGGGACCGTTGGCCGTGTGCCTCGGTTCGGGACCGCTTAACCACCTCCGTTTGTTCTGATTTTTGGCATACTTCCTATTTTCTCCCTTTTGAGGGACACTGGGGCCTGAGAAACCCACTTCATGGTCGGATACCATTTTCGGTGTTTAACGGGCAGTTTCCGGGACCTCGAACTGCGTGTTTTGGTCCCCGAGCGTTCGTTTTGCAACGGTTTTCGTTCATTTTTGGCAGGTACCTCTGTTTTATCACCGGGGAGGTCACTGAAGAGCGGGAGGCTAGTAATTATTGCAGCAGCCAGTTATATCTTCTCCGAAGCCTTCCGACGCCCGTTTTTCTAACTTCCGGGCTAATGTTGAACACCTTGGAGTTAATGTTGCCAACTTTGAACCACATATTTGTGATGTACACACATGGGAGGACCCTAAAAAATGGTGGCCGGCCATTAATGCTACCTGACCTTTTTGACCCCCTCCTTCCGAGCTAATGTTGAACCCCTTGGACCCACATTCTCGAACTTTTAACCACAGGGTTGTGTTGTACACACACAGGAGGACACCATCAGTTGGTGGCTGGCCAGAAAATCTGATTGACCCTTTTGACCCCTAGTCGGCCGGCTAGGGGGTGTGGCCGGCCGGCCACCTGCAGCAAAAGTAACAGGCCGGCCGAGCTCCTTGCAATGTGCACTTTACAGCTGTGGAGCTTTATCCCCCAGAAAATATCAAGATCCGGGGGATATTTTGTGGGGGAAAGTTGTCCTCCTTTTCCCCCACCTTTACACCCCCTTCTTGGCCCTTATAACCAGCTGGTGGCTTCACTTACAAGGGTTAGAAAACTTCACCTTCAAGCTTCCATACACAACTCCATCTCTATACCTCTCATTTCCTTGAAAATCTCTAAGTCCCTAAACACCATTTCTTCTACACCACCAAGCTCTACCATTACCACTTCATTTCCAGCAACAAGGAAGGCTTCTCAAAGGCTAAAGGAGCTGCAAATTGGTCCAAGAATCAACAAAAGCATTTAGTCTTCAAGGGTGAGTAATATTTCCTCTCTTTGACCCTTTTCTTGATCTATTTGTGAACCCCATATGCTTTTTGTT